TTGCATCATGAGGGCAGAGCCTATGTGAATGGCATTAGTGGCTTTATAATAGAGGCCCCAGAGAGCTTCCTTGACTGCCTGTGAGGTGACAGTGAGGACACTGGCGTCCATGAAGAAGCAGGCACCCATCAGACACCAGACCTGCCAATGCCATCGTCTCAGACTCACAGCCCTCAGAACTGTGGGAAATGTCTGTCTCTTATTTCTAAGCCACCCAGTCTCTGGTATTTTTGTTATAGCAGCTGGAACAGACTGAAACACCATTATAACTTTAATGAATAAAATATAAACTTTGCAAAACCAAACTTGTCCCTGAATAGTCTCACAGTGACCATGCTGGCGACGGTGGCTAGGTCACAGTGCCATGCTGAGGTCAAGCTGCTGTGACTGCAGAGTACACATGCTCCACCATTAACAGGCACCTCCCCCAGCTTTACTGAGATATAACTGAAATATAACATCGTAAGTTTAAGTGCACACGTGATGACTTGATACACGTATGTATTGCAAAATGATTACCTCAATAAGGTTCGTTAACACCTCCATCACTTCACATAATAACCTTTTTCATTTTTAGGGTGAGAACGTTTAAGATTGACACTCTTAGTACCTTTCAAGTATATAGTTAGATATATATAGTCACGATGTTGCCCCTTAGGTCCCCAGAACTTACTCATCTTATGGAGACTTTGTGTGTGTGTGTTTTTAAGGTTCTCCTAATGCCATTCAAAAGCAAATGCTTTAAACTACATGAGGTCTCTTCTTTGTCAGAAACCAGCTCAAATAATAGGAAAGGCTGTGAACGTACTTCCCAGTGGGTCATCATTGAGAGTTGAGAGAGTCCTATAAAGGTGCCATAAAATGTTGGTCATTAAAGTTTTTTTGCTAATAAACAAATGTATCCTGTATCATTATTTTAAAACTTAAATAGTGGAAAGGGATAGAATTACCATCATAAATATCTAAAATTAAAAAATAATAAACTTTTAATTTTAGAACAGTTTTAGATTTACAGGAAAAACAAATGTGAATACAGAGTCCCGTACACCTCACACCCAGTTTTCCCTAATATTAACATCTTATGTTAACATGGTACATTAATCATAATTAATGAAATATATTGATACATCATTATTAACTGAAGTCCATACTTTATTCAGATTTCCTGGTTTTTTACCAAATGTCTTTTTACTGTTCTAGGATCCTGTTCTGGCTCTCACATTAGTTAGTCATCCTAGGTCCTCAGACTCTTCCTGGCTTGGACAGTTTCTTCTATTTTTCTTGTTTTTTGATGACCTGGACAGTTTTGAGGAGGACTGGCCAGGTATTTTGTAAAATGTATTTGAGTTGTGATTTGTCGGATGTTTTTCTCTGATTAGACGGGGATTGTTGGTTTGGGGAAGGAGAACCAGAGAGGTAAAGTGTCATTTTCATCACCTGCATAAAGGTGCATAATGTCCACATGATTTATCACTGTTGATATTGACCTTGATCACCTGGCTGAGGCGGTGACTGTCAGGTTTCCTCCTGTTGCTGTCCCGCCCTCTGCACTGCACTCTTGGGGAGAAGGTCACCTTCCGCAGTCCGCACTGACGGAAAAGGGAGCTACGCTTCCTCTTTGAGGGCGGGCACCTACGTAAACGACTTGGAATTCTTCTGTGAGTTGAGATTTATCTCTACACTTCCATTTACTTAGTTATTCTATGATTTATTTGAATCAGTATGGACTCATAGATATTTATTTTAGACTTTGGGTTATAACCCAATACTGTATTTTGTTGCTCAAATTGTTTCAGGTTTGGTCACCAGCTCTTTCGGTTGGTTCTTGTGTCCCTTTGACATACGTCCTACCAACATAGGGTTTTTGTGTGCCTGGTTTTTTGTTTCTTTGTTTTTAAGCACTCCCTCACTTTCTGGCGCTACAAGATGCTCCAGGCTCAAAAACAAAAACAAAAATCAGGTTTGGGGTTGAGCAGAGGTCAAGACTAAAGGAGAGATTTGTTTGTGGCATCATACCCAGGAAGGTGACAGCTGAAGTCTTGGAATGAAACCATCCTTGGTTGGAGAAGGTGTTGATCCAGAAGATTGGCCAACTCCAGGGCCTTGGAGAATACTAACACTTGTGGATGGTTGTAGGAGAGAAAACAGAAAAGGATAGTGAGCAAAAATGGACATAGATATACCACAAAAGGCCAATGTGTGGAGGCTAAAGAGAGAAAAACCCAGGAGAAGGGACAAGTGTGACGGGGTCGAGGGGCTGGTGGGTTTGACCTTTAGTAGGTCACTGGTGACCTCTTTGAGAGCCATGGCCACAGAGGAATACTGGAGCTGATTGTAGTGAGAGGGCATGTTCAGGCTGCGGCACTGGAGAGAGAAGTAGCAACAGCTTCCTCTTCCACCTTCAGTTACTCCTCAGTCTCTTCAGAAGGCTCTTTTCTTTGCTGCCCAGTAAATGTTGATGTTACCTAGGACTCTATCCTTGGCTCCTAACAGTTAGGATTCTCTTGGTTTCAAATAACAGCAGCAACTCCGGCTGGCTTGAGCAGAAAGATTTATTGGAAGGAGACAAGGTTACCTCACAGGACCCAAGGGTTACGACTGGACTTTGCACATAAGCTTTAACTAGAAATCCAGCACCATAGGGTTTCTCCAGCTTCTTTCTTATTCCCCTCTTGGTGTCTATTTCATTTTCTGCCTCCATCACAGATCAACTGTCTCAGATTCCAGGCCACGTGGTGGAAAACGCCTGCCACTTGCTCAGAGTCATACCCACTCCCTCAGCCACTCAGAGGAGCACTGCTGTCTCACTTTCATTCCTAATGTCTTCCAAAGGAAGAGAGTGAGTGGACCACCTTGCATAGATGCCCACCCTTGAGCTATCCAACTAAGGGCAGACCCAGAGGGTCATGCTGCACAGACAGGGCAGGGACCGGGACCCGGGGGAGAAGCTGAGGGAAAAGCTTACAGGATGGGCATAAGGATTGGGCTTTAGGGAGTGATAAGGAGGGAAAGGTGACATGAGCAGCTTCTGGTCTGTGCTCTGAAAGCCTGGGCCCTCCTCAGCAGCAAATTCGAGGGGTGCTCTCCTGCCTAGATCAGGGGCCAGCCATATTGTTTTCTTCTAAGAAAGAAAACCGAATGACTGCCCAGCTCTTATTAACTTCCCCTAGGACCAGGCAGCCCTCAGTGGACCTTGGTGAGCACCCATGGGCCATGTCTACTCTTGGGGAACCAGAGTTGACTTTTTCAGGGGCCAACTGAGCCTGTCTCTGTGGTCTTTGAACTTGGGACTGGACGGATCCCAGGCCAGGTACGATTTAGAATGATGGGAGGCTGATGGTGACTACAGCACAGAGACGGAGTCAGGGCTGCTGGTCCTAGTTATCCTGGACACCAGCTGTGCCACTGCCCTCCCTGTGTTAGACTCTACAGACTGGCCCGCCACTTTCCAGTACATTCCCTCTCTGTCCAAGCCAGCATTCGACAACCTTTCGGACCTCACGGACCACCAGTTGGTGACCGCTGCTCTAAGCTTCTTTGAGTAGGTTTTTGGGAGCTTGGGCTAATCTAACATCAAGGGAGTTGCCCAATAGTTGTTGACTATTAGCCTGGCCTCCAACCTCCCATTTCCACTGGAGAGAGTGACCCCTCCTTTTCTCTTGTCACGTTTCCTGGGAGAAATGAGGTCCAACATAGTGCTTGCAATAGGAGGTTTTGGTGTGCTGGCAATGACTGACATACTGGCACTTGACCATGTATTCCTCCAACTTTGATATTTAAAAAATTGAAAATCAGCATGACTTGTGTATGAAGATAAGGATCAACAGCTCAATGATTCAATTAATGATGGAAATATACTCGCTGAACAAAACTCTCCCTAAAGTCAGAAAGGGCTTTTCACCAGCCAGAACAATCTGAACTAAAACACACATGATACCACCCTGGCCCCATTGGCAGGAATAGCTTTAGATTTACAGAAAATTTTTGAAGATGGTAGAGTTCCCACAAACTCCTCAGCCAATTTCCCCTGTCATTAACCTTTTATATGAGTATGACATATTAGTCACAATTAATGAGCCACTGCTAATACAATATTATTAACTGAAGTCCATACCCTATTAGTGTTTCCCTGATGTCCTTTCTTATCCCAGGATCCCATCCGGAATACCAGCTGACATCCAGCTATGCTTCTGTAGGCTCCTCTGAGTTAGCACAGCGGAAGACCTTACTTTTACTCAGCTTATCTGCTAATAATTGGTGTTAGAATGACGCTTACTTAATGGTTCTATTTTACAAATTCACATTTTTCTCCATCTTTAAATATTTAATACTTTAATAATTTGAATTACATTAGATAGTTTCCTCATGTTGATAACGTTAGGAATTCTGAACATCTAGATTGATGCTGGTATTTATTTTAAACAAATGCTGAATGTCCAGTGTCACAGTGTTTGTTGCAGTTTAGTAGTTACTGGCCCAACAGAAAGGGCTCTGCAAGTAAGTCCTTCCCCCAATACCTTTACTCCATTCTGTTCTTCCTCTGTGTACAGCTGGAGAAGACTCAGCCAGTGCCCTGGGGGCGTTTCTCAATGATGCCTTTGACCCTGGGTACATGATCTTAGAGAAGTCTTAAAGCTTTGCATTCCCAGCACCTTGCTCATTACTCCGAACCTAATGAGGACACGCCTCAGGTAGGTGCTATATTTTTGTTCAACCAAATTGAAGGCATGAAGGAAACTGGCCCATTGGCAGGAGAAAGCGGCTGTTCTCCTGAAATTAGGAACTGATGAGAATCAGGAAGCCCAGGTAGCGTGGCAAGGACTAGTAGAGGCGTGGAGGGTTGCAGAGTGGGGGGTTGAGAGTGAGGAGGAGGGGGTGGGGGCATCCCCAGTGGCAGAGCCTGACTCAGGGGCGGCTAGCCAACATGAAGGGAACTACCTGGAATGACTGTAATGACCACCTCTAGGATTCAGAGACGCTACCAATGATCAGCATCTGAAAACCGTGAGGAAGAGTTTAATCGCAAGCATGCAGCACCGCAGAGCGAATGTTGACATTTAAATACACGACAATCTCTTGGTCTCCCTGGAAGTTGCCGAAAGCCCCTCACGGCGTCAGGCTTCACTTCTGTCCGTAGTTCATGGCATATTCGAAGTCTTTAAAGCTGACATGGCCATCCGAGTCTCGGTCTACTTCCCTGAGAAATGAAACAAGAAGTTACTTACAGGTGTTTTTCACCCCCCGTGTGCATCAGGGGCACATGAGAATATGTGTTTGCATGTTATGGGAGAGGCACCTATTTATCTACTTGAAGGCTAAGGCTGATGCCTAGTTTTTCGCTTACATTGATAAGTGGGAAGGAAAGAGAAAGGTATCTGCTAACACCTACTGAAATAATACATTCTACACATTGAATGGAATGAAGCCAACCCACAGGTTATGTCAGAAAAGCAGGACTGATGGTTCTTCCAGTCATTTTGCAAATTCTTTCTGTGATACATCGATAAACACATACGCATAACCCAACAGAAATGAGGAATAAACCAATAAGGGGTCAGAACATTTGGGGAATAATAATGAAGGGAACAATGATTGACATCGTGTATCCCATTGCCTTTATATTCCTTCTCTCATTGAACCTGTGCACCGATGCTGGAGGGGTCCCTTTTCCGGATGGAAGCATTGCGCTTAAAGAGGTTAATAGTTTCACAAGCTCACACTGCTGGTGAGTGGCAGGGTTGGAAATCAAACCAGGATCATTAAATTCCAAAACCAGGGCTCTATATACAACTGCATGCTGCCTCCCTATGTCAATAGGACGTTCAGGAGTGAAGTGGTTGTACTGCAGTTTCCACGGGGCTAACTAGCTAGCTCCTGAAGTTCTCACTGGCTTCATCCGTGGCCTCATAAGATCTGCTAAATCCTCACCAACACCCCAGTGCCTTTTCTGACTCCTCTAAAGAGTGGTGAGGATGTGAGCCTCTGGCTGGCAGGCTGAGGGGGTGGGTGGCCGCAGTGGGGTTGGCCCTGTGCGCCCCTGAGACAGGAGGACTGCCACCCAAACAGGGAGCAGGGGAATGGCACCCACGTGGATAGGTTCCCCCATGTCAGAAGGACGTGATTACTGCCTATGCCGCACACGCGACCCTTCCCAGTAAAAGTAATGTTTATTTAAACAGAGTGTTTGAAAGGATAACTGATGAGTAGTGGTCACAATTCCTCTTTGGGGGGCATTCTAAAACAAAGCTTTACACGACTTATGGAAATTATATTCCGTTGAAACGACAAATGGTTTCAACCATGACACAGAGCTTTTTAAAACCAAGATTGGCCCGAGTCACAGAGCCACTAATCAGTGGAACCGTTTTAAAGCAGGCTTTTAAAATATTGAATTCTAAAATAAACTTTCTGAATATTTCATGCCAAAGTCTCTGAAGTCTTTAATGGTCCTGGATGGAGCGATGATAATTTTTCATTCTTTTGAAGTAGAGAAAACCCCCACTTCTCTGCCCCAGGGCAAAACCATGTTGCAGTGTGTTAGTATAAAATGACTGCAGACTGTGGAGGCCATTATTCTTGTTACTTCTTTTGGTAAAATATACATGACAATTTCATGCTATTCAGGACCAAAAGCAGACTGTCAGATCTCTTCTAAGGGATTAGAAGTAATCAGTATCACATGTTACTGACTACAGAACAGAAACCATCACTTGTATTAAATTAGATCATTGAAGATTCTTAATATTGCCTAAGTATTTTTTTTCCCCAGGAACTGGATTAGATAAACGGCCTTTTTTCTTTCCGCTCTGAACTGGTATGGTTGAATTCTACTGCTCAGAGGGTGAGGTAAGTGGATAACGGAGGAAAGTAATGTTTAGAATAAATGGCTTCTGATAATATTTTTTGGTGTGTTTATTCACTTATCGAGACGCTGCATGCTTGTAGAAAAAGGGAATCCCTTTGCCTGATTTTCTCAGCAAATGGCCTTCACTGAAATAGCATTCACTTCTTTTTATTTTTTTTGCTGTCGTTGCCAAAGCTTCCCATCCTAAAATGGGCACAGCATAGCCGAGAGGTGCTAAAATGGAAAGGTTTATTCATAAGGTGTGGAGTGGCATTTTATTTATGTAATGAATGGAGGAACATTATGTTTATATTTAGAAGGAGACATGGTAAAATACTTTCTGCCTTCCAACTTTTCTTCCTCATCGCACATTTATATGAGCAGATCTGGTTGCTTCGGGGAGTGAGGAGAGGAAATTCGCATCTGAGAGCTATCATTTTAAAAGCTAAAATATACTGTTGTGCGTCGCAGACGGAGTGATTGCGGAGCAGGAAGGCACCCACACTCAGGCACGGCGCGAAGAAGAGCAGATGTGGCTGGCGGGTGGAATCGGTGGCGTGGGGAGGAGGTGGAGATAACGGCGCTGGGTAGGAAAGTTTTATTGCTTCCGTTTACAGCATTCAGCCCTAAAAGGAGTGTATTCGGGTTATGAAATGAGAGTGTGTATTCAGCCGGAAAACAGCCCGCCACCCCTCACCCCGACCAGAAGGAAACTCTACGATGGCCACAACTTTCCCTAGGTCGCCCCCCGAGTCCCCACCTCTTAGCGCAGAGCAGGCAATGAATGGATCTGTGGGACGAATGAATCGGGGGAAACAGTGGACAACGTGACGGAATACCCACTGCCCTCCAGGAGGTCCTGGGGATTAAAGAAAGAGTCTATCACCACTGTCTTATGGAGTCTGATCACCGGCCAGAGAAAGAATACACACCGACGAGGCCCCCTAGGAACCATCACTCAGGGACCGAAAAGCAATGGCAGTTACGGTCTATGCTCAACCACATTATACAAACACAGACACAGCACAAGAGAGACCAAGGCAGGGTGAGCTCTGGGGAATGAGGCTGCAGAGGACGGCACCAGGACGGACAGAAGGGACGCCACTGAGTGGCAGGCTGAACGGTTTAGGGATAAAGAGCAGGAAATTGAATGCCAAGGCAGAAAAGGGAGAGTCCTGCCTACAGGTGAAATCTGAGCACTTCAATCCAGGTACCTGGCAGCTCTCACCAGACCTGTGGATATAGGTAAGGTGGCTCTTGAACAACACTGATATTAGGGCCTGACTCCCCCACAGACAGTCAAAAATCTTGCATGTAACCTGACTCCCCCCAAACCAACTACTAATAGCCTCCTACTGACCAGAACATAAACAGTCAATTAACACAGATTCTGTATGTTATATGTATTACATACGGTGCCCTTAGAATAAGCGAGAGAAGGGAAAATGGTATTATGAAAATCACAAGAAAGAGAAATTACATTTGCAGTATTTATTGAAAATAATCCATGTATAAGTGGACTCCTGCAGTTTCAAGTGTCAATTGTAGACTTATAAACAAGCTTATATTTCAGAACTAGCTTTTCAAAGGAGTTAACAAAGCTTATATAGATGTGTAAGAGAAATATAAATTGTTATCAATAATAATTGCTTTTAGAAATGTAGATCCAATTAAATGAAAGACTTTCTGGTTTGCTTGGGGGTTTTTTTGTTTGTTTTTTTAAAATATATGTTTATTGGTTTCAGAGAGGAAGGGAGAGGGAGGGACGGAGGGGGAAAGAAAGAGAGAGAGAGAGAGGGAGACCTTTTTTATTGATTTCAGAGAGGGAGGGAAGAGAGAGAGAGAGAGAGAGAGAAAGAGAGAGAGAGAGAGAGAGAAATAAAAACATCAATGATGAGAGAGAACCATTGACCGGCTGCCTCCTGGATGCCCCCTATTGGGGATTGAGCCCACAACCTGGGCATGTGCCCTTGACTGGAATCAAACCCAGGACCCTTCAGACCACAGGCCGATGCTCTACCTACTGAGCCAAACCAACCAGGGCTGGTTTGCTTGTTTTTTGAGATGCAAAAGGAAGATCCAAAATTGATTTTGGAAGTAGTCATTCAAGAGAGCTGAACTGGCTCTAATTGGTTTGGGTCAGTGGATGGAGGGTCTGCCTGTGGACTGAAGGGTCCCAGGTTCAATTCTGGTCAAGGGCATGTACCTTGGTTGTGGGCACATTCCCAGTAGGGAGTGTGCAGGAGGTAGCTGATCGATGTTTCTCTCTCATCAGTGTTTCTGACTCTCTATCCCTCTCCTTTCCTCTCTGTAAAAAAAATCAATAAAATATATTTTAAAGAAGAGAGGGCTGAACTGCTCTGTAATCAGTACAGACCTCCTAGGACCATCTGGGAGGAAGGAGATGACAAGCAAAATAAGAGAGGGTGCAGGAAGAGGGGGCTACCAAGAGAAATGTAAGGGGGCTGGGATCCTGTACAGGTAGAACTGGCCCAAGAAAAAAATCCCCAGTGGTGCAATGATCAGAAGTCCTTGAGTTGCCTGCAGTTGTATTACTTCACCTCTCCCCATCTTTGCCAAGGGGTGCAAAAGGCACACACTCTAAGGGGGGATGGTATGCTGGGGGTGTCTATATTGAGTTAGGCAATGAGTTTGGTCTGAGTGGGTGCAGGAGAGTGCAAGAGAAGCCAGTAAGATGACCTATCAATTGAATGAATTAAGAGAGATAAGAACTTAGAGCCAAAAGCTGTCCAGAACTTTGCAAAAAAAAAAAAAAAAAATCGTGGGAGATGCTTTAAAATCCCACAGAACGTGGAATGGGGGTTCCTGGCAATTCGATCAAGCCTTGGAGGTGTAGGAAGGCCTCGAATGACCCTGGGATTCATGGAGAATTTCAGGCAGGCGTAGACTCGGTCTGTGCAGCTGAGTTCTGACAGTTTTCATATCTGTTAAAATACATTTTCTGACTCATCACAGAAGTGGTTATAATTACTTTCATCAGCATGAGCCTTCGCATTTGCCTCTTTTACATCCTGATTTGTTAGCCAAGATTTTGTTCTGTCCCTTTTTGTGATGCTGTGAGAACTTCAGCAGCCCAGACTAGATGGGCCCCAGTGACCCGGGAGCTGAATGGTCCCTCCTGAAGGAGCCAGGGTTTCACACTGAGACTCTTTAAGTGAAGCCATAATGTTGCTCTCATACACTCTGAAGAGAGACATAAGTTGTTGCTTTTTTAATTTAAAAAATATGTAAATAGTGAATGTTTCTCACAAGTACTAAATGTTTTCTTTTGTACAAAAATATTTACATCATAACATTTCTTGTAATGTTCTGAAAGTAGTGATTTCTTTGAA